TTAGTTAGGGAGAGTCCCTATTTGACACACCCTATCTTTAACACGTATATCCCTTCTCTCAAAAATTTCGATTTATGTCGTTGAATTTCGTAAACATACTACAATTTTGTTTCATTTGATTTTTCCTTTATAGGTACCAAACTGAACATGAGTTGCTGAGATACATTCATAGGTTACAATCAAAAGATCTCTCACTTTGCCACACCATGATCCCACTTGGATCTTGTACAATGAAGTTGAATGCAACAACTGAAATGATGCCTGTGACATGGCCTAGCTTTACCGATTTGCACCCTTTTGCACCAACTGAACAGGCTTAAGGTTATCAAGTACTTCCTTCGTCTCATACGAACTGTCTTTTAAGGTAATGCACATGTCTTAAGAAAATATTTATCTATACTAATTTTCAATGCAATAATGCCTTAAAATATAGGATAGTTTTGTGTTTTCTGTGTCTAAACAAGCGAATTTGGTTCCAGGAAATGTTCGACAACTTGGGTGATCAGTTATGTACCATTACTGAATTTGACTTCTTCTCTTTGCAACCAAATGCCGGTGCTGCTGGAGAATACGCCGGGCTCATGGTTATTCATGCATATCATTTGGTATGGTAGCTTGTTAAACTTTGAAGTAGACATTCATATGTTCGTATGCTGCACTGCAATAGTATATTAGTGTTGTAGTGTTTGATGCTGTTATTAGATTAATTGAATTTCGATTGAGCATTTTCTACCGAGTCGGTTTTGTTTCAATTTAAATTTTGGTGCCAATTATGGCTGTTGTGCTATATGTTTGAATTATTGCGTATGTGATTGGTTATTGTATACATGCTATGTGTAATGTGGTTCAAAAATTAGAGAATGCAAGGTTAATGATTGAAAACTTTTTTATGGTAGTGTTTATTGTGTGAATATCATGAATATTGATGATTGCCATTAATGTAACCTACAATAGCTGTATTATGAATCCTAAACTGAGCGCAGATTTTTTTTTAAAAAATATTTGCAACTTGCAGCGGTTCAAACCGCCACAATATACCATAGCTTTTTTTTTAAAAAAATATTTGCAACTTGCGGCGGTTCAAACCGCCACAATACACTTTCATAATAAAACAAAAATCATTAAGCAAGTTAAGACGGTTAAAAACCGTCACAATATGGAGATTACGACAGTTAGCTACCCGTCGTGAAAATAGCGATGGTTTGTACGACAGTTTTCACAACCGTCGCAATACGGCCTCGCGACGCACGTTTCTGCGACGGTATTAAAACCGTCGTACCTTACAAATTGCGACAGTTAAAACCGTCGTAATCTATCTGTAAGTGCTTCTGATTGGCTGTATTTTGTGGCAAAACATTAGAGTGTGTATGGATGTCATAACTAATGATGTGACACAAAATATGCAGGGTAAGTAGTAAGTTGAGTTGGATGTCATACTGAATGTCATGACACTGATCATATGACATCAGGTGCGCAGGTTTAGTTTTCTGTTATTCAGAATGAGGAAGCTCAGGCTAAAATTCAGGAAACTTTATAGAAGCTCAAGCTGGAAGTCAGGAAACATTTTAGAAGCCCTGACGAAATGTACCTGACCTAAGTGGTAAGTGCAGCTTTTTGAAGAGAGGTTTGGGTAAACCTAATTTCTGCACCAAGGTCCAAGGACTGGCTGCTGCTATAAATAACAAAAGGAGCAATCCTAGAAGAGCAACTCTTGACAAAAGATTAGAGAGTGCATGCTAAGTGTCCTTGTGAGTGAAGAAGTTCTGTTCTTCACGTGTGAAGTGTGTCTTAGGAATACTTGTACACCAAGCAACTGTGTGCTGCATTGGTTAGGTAGGTTCTAAGCTATTGTGTCACTAAAAGCTGTTAAGCAAGAGTGTGTGTCACTTGATCAAAGCTGTGAAGCAAGATCAAGGTGTGTTTTTGGAGTGTATCTCCATAACTGTTCTATAATTGTGTGTTGATATCACTGAGGTGATTGAGGGGGAGTGAGTGGGCATACTCAGGTCTAGAGTGTCTCTAGGAAGAAGTGTCATTGGGTAAGTCTTAAGTGAGGAGTGCAAACTGGGTTGTTTGACTCTGAATTAATTCTGCTAATAGTGAATTTCCTCCCTGGCTTGGTAGCCCCCAGATGTAAGTGTTGTTGACACTGAACTGGGTGAACAATTACTGTGTTATTTACTACTTCTCCTTACAACTTATTATTAACTGCAGTAGTGTAAGTTATAGTGGATGTCACAACATCCACAATAGCATCCATCGTGAGCTTGCCAGAATTTCACTATCAAAATGAACCGTCGCAATTTGCCAATTTTCTTGTAGTGATTATCCCTCTCACATGTATGATCTAGTCTTGAACAAGGGTTCTTGATAGTCCTCAGCTTCTCAGGCTCTCAGGTCGAGCAGTAATAATGCATTCACCATTTCTGGTTTGGTATTATTACCCCTCAAGGAGGTCTCCCCTGATTTCCAATGATCAGTCTCCATAGTCATAAGTTCTCTAAGTTGACATCCTATCATCTGCACCAGACGCGCATAATAGAATATCTCCAAAGAAAACCTCGTCTGGATGTGAATTTTGTGTCAACTACACGTGGTCATACGCCACACAAGCCACACTACTCCCCACTTTAGTCCTGTGTGGATGCTCAAGCCTGGGTAGTGGGCTTATCTCTCAAGTAACAACCCATCCCAACAATAGCAGAAAATAACAGATATCTAGAATATGCAGCATATGAATATTTAAAATAGTAAAGAAATGCAGTAAATAACATAAAGATAAAGCAAGTAAAGCATACAGATGAACACCCAAACAAGCAAGAAAGAGAAAAAGAACTAGGTGAGACCCCAACTTGCAAGAGCAAGGACTCCCTAGCAGAGTCGCCAGCTAAGGCTAGCGGGATTATACCTGAGTGAATCGCACACTCAAAGATACAATAGAGTCGCCACCGAACTTTATTTAGTTCCAAAGGATAGGGAAAATATCGATAAAACCCAAGGGAAGAGAAACAGGTAAGGGGGTCGGTTATGCGAAAGGAAGGTACTAGCACCTTACGCACCCATCGTACTTGACGAGAACTATTTCACTTGCTTCTAGGCTTGGATGGGTTATCTATCTAAAGGCTTCTATCTAAAAAAGAGGGAAAGGAAAAAGAGAGAGAAAGAAAGAAAGAAAGTGCACACGGAGGATTAGGGCCCTCGTGCCTATGTATCCTCGTAGTGCAATGAGAAATTCAGAGCTCCGTAGTTCATGGAACTGGGAAAGAAGGAAAAAGGATAGAAGAAGGTGGCTAACCAAGATTTCATAATGTTGTACCTACGCACCCTCATAGTGGAATGAGGAATTCAGAGCCTAAGTGGTTCGGAGAACTAAGACGAAGAAAGAAAAGGAAGAGGAAGCGGTGTCAAAACCAAGAGCGAAAGGAAGAAAGCAAAATCTATGCAAAATGAAATGGTGTAAAAACCAAGAAGAAAAGGCAAAGGAAGACTCTGCTGAGGAATGCAGAAGAAATGTGTAACTCCAATGGGGATAAAAACAAAAGAATGGTGTCGAAACCAGGAGAATAAAGGGATAAAGGATAAGAACCGAGGTAAAGGTAAGATCAACAGGGGACTCGGTGAATTAACTGGCAAGTAGTGATTAACCGAAGAAAGATAAGAGTAAGATTCTGTGGGGAAAGCAAAAGATTGGTATCAATAAACAGACTGTGATGAACCAAAATGAGAGTATTAAATCAAGGGAAGGTGTTTGACTCTCTGGAGAACTCGGTGTGTTAACTGATAAATAGTGGTCAACCGAAAAGATAATGGAGTTGGCTTTAACTGATAGACGGTGATCAACCAAAAAGACGGGTGTGGAACCAAGCAAAGGTTGTGAATCAAAGGACGGATTTGGAACCACGCGAAGGTTGTGACTTAAAGGACGATACACTGACTGAATAAACAATACTTGACCAAAGAAAAGAGTATTTGAAACAAACAAAGGTTACTAACCCAAAGGTGCGAGTATTTGAACCAAAGAAAGGTTGCTAACTATAGGAGATTCGATGTTTAATAGAAGGACTGTGATTAATCGAAAATAATGAGTGATTAACCAAGATAGGGTAATTAACTCAAGAGAGATTGGTTTTAACAGGAAGACTGTGATTATCCAAAGAACGGTTGATTATCTGGAAGGAGGTGATTAACCGAAAGAAAATTGAGTGTAAGAGCAAATTGGTGTCTTAACTGACGAGCAATGATTAACCAAACAAGAAGGAGAGAAAACCAAGAAAGGTTGCGAACTATGCTAGGGATTCGGTATTGACAGTTAGATTGTGCTTAACCGAAAAAGGATTGCGACTTCGCTAGGGAAGAAGAAAAATTAGATTTAACCAAAGAGCGGTTGATTGGCCAAAGAAATGGGTGATTATAAATCTTCTGGGGGAATCAAAGAATAATGATTGTCTAAAAGAGAAAGGAATGTTGAATCGAAAGGAGGAACTCAAACTAAGAGACAAAGATTAGGGTGCAAGTGATCAAAGATCAAGAAACACCATAACTTAGGAAACATACGTGACTTATCCCAGGTATAAGGGCCAGACGCCCTTTCCCAAAAATAGTCAGAATAAGGATATGACATACTCCCATCCTCATTATTTCTCTAGAACCCAAAGTGTAATGCAGAACTCCAACAAAGAAGCGACGTAAGTTGTACAGTGGTCTAATGCATTGTGTAAACCTTCGACTCTGCAGGGGAATGAAAGAATAAGGCTCTAAAAGAGAAGAAATATGGGAGATCAACTAATCGAAATAAGGTTTCAATCAATTAATCAAAAGGGAGTGAAGAAACCAACAATTCTTCAAATAAGTCGAAAGATTATCAAAGCACACATGTAGATTATTGATTATACAAGATTAAGTTCACTCAAATGAAGAACAAACTTAATGCAATCAAGAAGAAATTGTAATGGCAACACCAAAAATCAATTAGTATGCAATACTAATCATGTTATCATGTG